AAGGCCAATATACATTGGTCAGAATTGTATGAAAGGCCAATATACATTGGTCAGAATTGTATGAAAGGCTAATATACATTGGTCAGAATTGTATGAAAGGCCAATCTGCATTGGTCAGAATTGTATGAAAGGCCAATATACATTGGTCAGAATTGTATGAAAGGCCAATATACATTGGTCAGAATTGTATGAAAGGCCAATATACATTGGTCAGAATTGTATGAAAGGACAATATACATTGGTCAGCATTGTATGTTTGCTATATTTGGAAGTGCTGCCTAGTGTTCATTACTGATATGTTCTTAATACAGCATATAACTCTGGAGGGCGCAATTCATCATGTGAGATCTGACCTTTCATAATAGGAAATATTTTTTTCACAGTTAATATATGTCAAACTTGAAAACTGAGATTTAACAAAAAAGTACCGGTAACATGTCTAATTTCACTTATTCTAAAACTGAGGATCATACATAGATTATATTCATAGTAATAAACCATACAATTTTAGCGGATCACTTTGAACCAACAGAATCATACAAATTGTTGTGCCTATTAACTGGAAAGAAAACTTTGGGAAATAATTGTCATTATTTTTTCACAGTTATTTAATATTAATAATAACAATGTCGAAATTCAAACTCAACAACTGTAATTTAACAAAAAACTAATTTGAATTATATATCTGAAATTTCATTTTCACTTATTAGAAATAAATTAATACATAAATTGATGATAATTAATTGATGATAATTAATTGATGATAATTACACTAATGTTTCACATATTTTATTCATAGCTCATTGGAAATAAGACCAGATTAAACTATAATAGATAAATTGATGATAATTACACTAATGTTTCACATATTTTATTCATAGCTCATCGGAAATAAGACCAGATTAAACTATAATAGGGAATGGTTAAATTAACAATTATGTGTGATCTACAGTGATGTTCAGTCACCTATACATAAGTGGGATGTGTTATCTGTTTTCTACAAATATTATTGTCAGAAATTGTAATGCAAAGTATGCAGTAGAATGTATTAATAACCTGACGTGTCACTTCCGGTCTGTTACTACCATTACTTATATCGTGAATGACAATTTATGTACTCTAATAACCCAATTAACTCCCATATAATGAGTATGATATTTGTTTATCTTAACCTCAGTGTCATTGATTTACTGGTGAAGGATTTTTGTTTTTGGAGGGGGGTGTTAACCTTGACCATGACCTTACTGTGATTTAATCATTGTATGTATGATAGAGCTTAGTTTTTAGATCAGTCCTATATAAATTTCAATCAAAATGTGCTGTTAGTTATTATCTATTACATGTAATAAAAGCAATACATCCACACACATGTCTTGATAAATACCATGATAAAATATTTTTAAAATTTCACTTATTCATTTTGCACTTGTTATTATGTGGTTTTTACTCGCCCACATATGAATGGAATGTACTATCTGCTTATTAGTTCTAAAGCTGTCGCCACAAATAATGTTTACAGTAGAGTGTATTAATCTGACTTGTCACTTCCTGTCAGGACCAACACTATTGATGTCATCAATGACATTTGATTTAGGACAATGTCAAAAGATTATATAGATAACAAAAAAATTAATTCTTCAATTATTTTAGCCACCCCCATAAAACCCCCTATTTGCCATCTAAAACCTTAAGTCCATAAAAATCATCATCATCATCATCATCATCATCAATTTTACAGCATTTTCAGGAATTGTGCAAAACCATATTAATCATGATAAACAGATATTATAATTGGTTAAATCATTTAATCAGTGTGTGTTAGAAATTAAGATAAATAATATTTCAGAATTTAAATGTATATAAATTAGCTTAGATAAGGACTTGTTAAAAAATATCCCATGTTGATCATTTGATGTTGTCCCAAAATCTGTCCCTAAATATAGTACACTGTAACCTTGGAAATGTGCTTTTAATCTATATTAAAAAATCTCCTCTAGTTGATTTTGTAAATAACATTTTTTTTGTTAGTTCTTTAAGACCTCAGGTATACATATGTAATCCAGATTGGAAGAGGGGTACATGACATTGACCTTGTCCCAGTTTTTAATATCTAGGTATACTTTATATGTGATTAAATATATAATGAATTACATTTTAAACCTCTGTAATGTATAACAAAGTAGTAAGTCTTCCACACACAAAAATGACCTGAAATCAACATGTATTGACAAATATTTGTGTTTCATTCATTGTTGGTTTCAGTGTGAATGCACATGTTTTTGGGAAAGTAGAGATAACGCAACCTCTAAATGATATCCAAATTCCTAGGGAATTTAAAAGAACAAAATACTAGTAACTGACAAAATAATGACAAGTACACTACAGTCCTTCAAAACAAACAGACAACTGACATTACAGTACATTGTCAAACCAGTGTGGACCTCATGGTATACATTTAAGTGGTTCATGTATTTGAAATTTTTTTTTTTGTTCTATCATACACTCAATTTATAGAGTGAAAAAACGCCAGCCAGCCTCCGTTATTGGTCAAGTGCCCTCTGGTGATGGATGCTTATAATTGTAATTCCACATGTTGGGGGCGCTTGTTTTATTACCATAGTTCATCTGTTCCTGAGATGCTGAATTGTTCGAGATACGAACATCAAGTTACGAGAATTGAGTTTTGAAAACATTGAGTTACAAAAATGACAATGCCCATATTTTAGAAACCATGAGTTATACTGATCAAAATCTGACGCACTGTGCTGTTTATCGACTGATTTATTTATTGTTTTCCCTACAATAAAATACATTCATGCATTGCTGTTTTTATCTGCTGGAGTGCACTAAACACAACTAACCAAAGAAGTACATAATGTTCTCTTCTGTCTTTTGGCATACACAAAGCTAATCCTCACCCCTACCATACAAAAGGGAATACCCGGTAACTACCAAATTTGTATTCCCTGCATCATAACTTTTCCTTTTTAACACTCTTATTAATCTTTGTGTCAGTCATACTTAAAGCACGGTAGTCGTCGACTTTGACTGTTGCACAGATCAACGAGTACGATCTGAGATGTTTCCAAGCTTTAATTGGAAAGTATCGAAGGAGTCACCGTCGGTAATCAGAGCAAGTCGCACACAGGTCAAACCTCATACTTGTGATTTCCATTTGAAGAACGCATTTGGATTGTGGAAAAATCAATGTTTACAACACAAATGTCGCACATGCGCAGCGCGACGACTACCGTGCTTTAATCAACAAATGCTATAAAAAATTTGACAATTTAAAGCGGGGGGGTCGTCACTTGCGCACGTGCGGGAATTGAGTCCCAAGCGACGATAACAACACACAGTAAAACGCAAAGGCTCATGGGTAGATGCTTGTTTGTAAACAATGACATGCTATGGCCATCTGACGTATGCGCAGGTGACGACTCCCCCGCTTTAAAATGTATCCAGACTTAACAAACACCTTCCTGGCTTCTAGTATCGAATATCCAAAAAAATATTTTTTACTGAAATAACAAATTTTGAAGTGCCTTATTGAGGGCACATTATCAATGATGTCACTGTCTGTTTAACCAATCAGCACTGAATCCTACGCATTGAACCCCAGTTTTCTGTACCACACTTAATATGACCAAATGCAAGCAATTTTCTGTTACAACTGCCAACGTTCAGGAAACGTACATTTGGAGTTGAAAATCTTGTACCAATTTGTATGCAAAATTAGATTCTGGTCATTCATGTACAGAAAAAATTTTACGTGGGTTTGGCACTGACGGTCATACATACAGACAAATGTCTCAAAAACATGATATGTATGTAAATTATTAATAAACTTATCTTAGTAGGTACACAGTGTAACATAAATTTCAATCCTTGTATGACAGTGTTTCTATCTCTTTACAAAAATAGACATAGCTACCACTGTGAGATATCTAGAAAATGTATTCAACACTGGAGGGTGCTAATACCGATTAATCAATCAAAATATTCGCCATCGAGGGTGCTATTCCTTTTTCTATTAGACACTATTCAACACAAGAGGGCATTATGTCAATAATAAAAACAAAAAACATACAATGTTTACACATTGAGGGGCCTTTGTCCGTGTGCTTGATAGATGATATTGATATTCTGACGTAATGTTTGTTGTTCATTCACCTAAACTATGTTGACATACTTTAAAATAATAAATCTTGTTGATTTGGTCCTATTAATAGCTTCACACAACAATGTCTATGCAAATTTAGCTTTCATTTTGAGTAGGAAAGTCAAAATTCTTATCATGTCAATTTCATAATTAGAACCTGTGTGTGGCGTGGTGATTACACACTAGCTATAAGTGTTCCACGAAGGACTACTATGAGTTCAGCTTGCTAACGAAAAGTCCTAAAATCACTTTGCGATGTTCATTGTGAGATTACTTTCACCACATGACACAGTTCAATTTTCATAAAATAATTTAGTTTCCCTTTCAAATATGCAACAGTCGTCCACAATCTCATCAGTTGATTTTTCTTTGACAATTCACAATTCGATTTTTTTCCTTCCATTTCCCACTCACAATAAAGGGTGATAGTCGTCTGTCCATGCATGCACGAGATATATGGGTATCATATAAACAAAGATGGCGACTTTGAATGTTGGACAAATCAACGAGTACAAACTGAGACATTACCAAGCTTTAATTAGGTATTTTTTAGGTGATTGGATGGTATCGAAGGAGTCATCTGCAGTAATTAAGGCAAGTCACGCCCAGGTCAAACTTTAAACTTGTGACATTCATTAGAAGAGCACATTGAATTATGGGAAATCAATGTTTATCAACACTAATGTCGCACATGCGCAGTGAGACGACTTACGCCCTTTAAACACAATTTCTAAGCAATTCAAAACATGCACTAAAGTCCATCAATGCATGTAAACATCGCTCAAATCAATAAGTACATACTTGTAGGCAACAATAAAATTCAGACGTCACACATACATTAAATTTGTCTTTTTTCTTAATTCAGACATATTTAATTGTATCCTTCAAGAGCACAGTATTTCGAAATTACATTACAAGCTGAAGCTAGCACCAATAAAAAAAAGCAACACATGCAGTTCCTCTAAAAAAATACAAAATGTTCACATTCTGGAGGATTTAGCTAACACTGACGGAAGGAAACAACCAGAATATTTCAATTATTGTAGATGTAGTTGTATGAACAATATTTTTTGATTTAAACACCATACACGCATTTTAACCTTTCACTTTCAAAAGAGTATTTATCAAATGATTGAGTGCCAGGACTTAAGGTAGCAACAGGGTAAAAACAAGTTATAAATTGATCTGTGATTCAGCAAACTTACTAAAGTGTGTTACCATAGCAACCTACCGGTATACTTCATTTAAAAGCTTTGATATTGGCGTATACTGTAGTGCATACCAATGTTTGTCTACGTACCTGTCGACCAATTTCGCTATTCTGCTTTTTAGTACTATTCCGACTATTAAAAATACCATTTTTAACACTTTTAGACACACGATTGACATCATAAATTGCACAGGACATTGGCTAGACAATCATGTCTCAGTTTTTCTCTGCTTTTGTTTTCTAGCCTCAAACATTTAACTATAGACATGTTACTTGAACTAAAAAACAAAAGGTAGATACAGAAAAATCAATATGCGATTATCTAGCCTTACAACGTTTCAAACGTCCTGTGCAATTCACAAATCGTTCACTTGACTGAAAGTGTTAAAAAAGAGTGCTATAATTAGTCGGAATACGAAAAAAGTACAATAGCAAAATTGGTCATCGGGTAATTCATAGGACCAGCAATGATACAGCTAGCACTATCGTAATTGCCTGTATCTAAGCTTTCAGATGATGTATAGGTTGTTATAGTAGCATACTTAGTAACTTTAAAGAATGTCTGAATCACAGATCAATTATTATCTCATTTCCTCCCTGTTCCTAGCTTGACACATTGAGAGTTGAATCAAAGAAAAGTATTTGTACAACAGTACATAAGATATTCACAAGTATAGACAAACATTTTAAAAATTTTGAACAGAATTCTTAATGTTTATGTATTGTTTATCAAGATCAACAGCGAAAACAAGCAGTTGAAAATACTGTTCAATTGACCCTCGTATGCATTGTCTATGCACATACCGGTATATATACATATATGTACATGCTATACTAGATAGAGTGTAGTGATAGAATTTCCTCATTGTCAGTCTTCATAGAAGGTTATAGGGAAGAAATGAGTTAACTCCATATTGGATTCTGCAAAGAATTGTGGGATAGAAAATTAAACTGTAGAGGGCGTTTGGGGTGAAACTCGCATATGTTAAAATCAGCTTTTTACCTCTCCTGTTCTCAAAACACGTTTTGTTTTTTTAAATGTATGGTTATATTGTTGGACTCAATTAATTTTACTGGGAAGATTGTTTTGAAGATTTTTGTTAGATATTTTACTGTTTTTGGCTGCAAGCTGTCTAACTGCGGGAACCATAGAAATGGGTAAGTGTATTCGATTTCTACTCATTTATTCATTCTAATTTATGTTTTATTATTTTCCTTGTCACAGTTCTTTGCAAAATCCAATATGAAGTTAACACATTTCTTCCCTATTGACACACATGACCAACCCTGGATCATTCTGATGGTGATGGAGGCAATGAAGAAATTGGGCTGTGTATTATTCAGTATCTTCACCACAACACACATTTTTTCATGGGTATCTCAGTTCATGATATGGTTACCTTTCACTTTCCCTCAATAGCAGAGAACCACTATTTAACTCCTGTGTTCTTTATATGTTCATACATCTATTATCTGTAGCTGCCAAATAATCATTGTAAATTCTTTTAATTTTTTTCAGTCCCTATATCTCTGGATTATTTAAACAAATCACTCTCAATATCAGCCAATCCAATTTTAATCTCTGGCTTTACTTAGCTTGCAACTCCTCAAGTATTTTTTCTAATTTCGAAATTCTTTCCTCATGGGCTGCTAGTTTTTTTTCCATTTCAGCACAGCACTGCAGAGTTTCTTGAGTGGTTTCATTTGTTTTTGTTTCTGGATTGGCTGCTGCTTCAACCCTTGGTGCAGCATCAACTTCTTCCTCTGGTGCTTCTTCCTTCCTTTCGTCTGCTGGCGCTGCTGAAAGTACTTCTTCTTTCTTTTCTTCTGCAGGTGTCGCTTCTGCCTTTTCCTCTGCTTGTGCCTCTACTGGTGCCTCTTCTTTCTTTTCCTCTGAAGGTGCTTCACAGGGTGCCTCTTCTTTTGTTTCTAATACTGGTGCTTCTGGTGGTGTCTCTTCGTCCTTTTCTTCTGCTGCTGGTCCCTCTGAAGGTGCTTCTTCCTTTTCTTCTGTAGATGCCTCTTCTTTCTTTTCTTCTGCCGGTGCCTCTTCTGTTTCTTCCACTACTGGTGCCTCTTTCTTATTTTCCTCTACTGGTGCTTCAGAAGGTGCCTCTTCCTTATTTTCCTCTACCGGTGGTTCAGAAGGTGCCTCTTCCTCCTTTTCTTCTGCTGGTTCCTCTGCTGGTGCCTCTTCCTTTTCTTCTGAAGCTGCGTCTTCCTTCTTCTCCTCTACTTGTGGTTCTGATGGGGCCTCTTCCTTTGTTTCTGCCACTGGTGCCTCTGATGGGGCTTCTTCTTTTTCCTCAACTGTTGGTTCAGAAGGTGACTCTGAGGGTTCCTCTTCCTTTTTTTCTTCTGTTGGTTCTTCTGCTGGTGCCTCCTTCTTTTCTTCAGACGGTGCGTCTTCCTTCTTTTCCTCTACGGGTACCTCTTCTTCCTTGTTTTCTACTTGTGGTTCTGATGCGGCCTCTTCCTTTGTTTCTGTCACTGGTGCCTCTGATGGGGCTTCTTCTTTTTCCTCAACTGTTGGTTCAGAAGGTGACTCTGAGGGTTCCTCTTCCTTTTTTTCTTCTGTTGGTTCTTCTGCTGGTGCCTCCTTCTTTTCTTCAGAAGGTGCGTCTTCCTTCTTTTCCTCTACGGGTACCTCTTCTTCCTTTTCTATTTGTGGCTCTGATGGGACCTCTTCCTTTGTTTCTTTTGCTGGCGCCTCTGATGGGGCTTCTTTCTTTCCCTCAACTGGTGACTCTGAAGGTGCCTCTTCTTTTTCTTCTGAAGGTGCTTCTTCCTTCTTTTCCTCTACTTGTGCCTCTGAGGGTGCCTCTTCTTTCTTTTCTTCCACTGGTGGCTGTACTGGTGCCTCTTCCTTCTTTTCTTCCACTTGTGACTCTGCTGGTGCATCTTCCTTTTCTTCTGAAGGTGTCTCTTCCTTATTTTCCTCTATAGGTACTTCTTCCTTCTTTTCTATTTGTGGCTCTGATGGGACCTCTTCCTTTGTTTCTTCTGCTGGTGCCTCTGAGGGGGCTTCTTCCTTTTTTTCCTCTACTTGTGCCTCTGAAGGTGCCTCTTCTTTCTTTTCTTCTACTTTTGTCTCTTCTTTCACTTCATCCTGAGTTTCAACATTTGTTTTTTCTTCAACATTGTCAGCCATAGTTTTCCTCTGCAGAAAGCATTTAACCAAATAGATGATTGTTACCACCCCAATACACACAGACATCACAATTGCCAGCATAATTCTTAAAATAGGATGATAGTCAAAATGAGTAAATCAAACTTGATGTTAGTATTAACAGACCACCTGCAATGGGAAAGTTAGTCAATGATTTGCTCATAGTCCAGTTATTATGACATTACAGAAACCATATAAAATTATTGTAAACCACTTTATTTTCATGATAAATTTTCCTAAAAACACAATGACTTGATAAAGTTTGTTCTAGTGAATGCTATAAATCAACAAATCGAAAATTAAATGGCTCACAGTACAAATGTGTTACTAGTACATTCAAGTTAGCATGAGTGAGATTTGATCAACTGGAAACCTTTACTTAAATTTTTCTGAATCTGAAAATTTTTAAATTTCATCAGAATGTCAATTTGATGTAATGGTATCAGTTTGTGTGCACTTTGTATCATATTTCAGTGAATGATTGACAGCAGTACATAGTTCAAAAAATTAACAGGGGTCAAAATGTTGATGTTTGGGAATTCATCAAATTATCCATTTGAAGATGTTTTTTGAAAGATTCACTATAATCACTCCTGCTACCTTCATAGTTGGCTCTGTAATGTATGTTTGATTGCAAAAATTAAATTGACAGAAAAATTTTAATTTGTTTTGCGTTCCCAAGTGATCACTAAATGAAGTGCTACAACATGGTGGTACTCCCATGATGCATCTCAAATTTCAACTGTGAATGGCAAAGAATATTTTGTTTTTAGACAAAGAGTTTTTACGTTCATTTTTTTTTTTCAGCTGAGAATGTGAAATACACCATATGCGAGTTCTACAGTGAACATTAACCCATTGCCAAGTGTGCCATTAAATGCAGAATTGTTTGTTACAAATAAAACAATTTGTCTATTTTTGGCAATTTTATTCTGAGGAGGGAGAAGTAAGGCTAAAACTGAATTAAAAACAAACAATCTGTCTGTCAAGAAAGCTCCTGACACTGTTGCCTGTGTTTATTTACTGGAATTGAATTGTTTTGAAGTTGCATTTATTGTATAACAAAATGTGGCAGAAATGTTCAAATTGAATCATGGTCACATCGTAGTTATGACCAATTTCAAATGCAAAGTCAAAAATATTTATTCAGTAAATTGAAGAGGTCATCCGAAATGAACAAATGTGATAGTATAAATGTTGTAAAGTCAAAAATTTTAACACTATCAAACTAGCAGTTTCAAGAAAAGGTTAAAATTATAATTTATTCCCCAAAATGACATAAATATTTATGAAAGTGTCCAGTACAGTAATATATTCAGGGTTCAGTCACCAACTGACATGTGTTAACCACGGTTACTTTTTTAGTAACCGTGTGTTAACAGAACTGACTTTCAATTTTGGCCACCTAAAACACCTTTAACAAATTTAATCAAATTTTCCATAATTTTTTCGCATATTTTGATATAAAGAATAGAAAATTATATCCATTTGTTCTCAAAATTAAGAAAGAAATTTAATTCAAATGGTAATTTTAATTAATTCTCTTTCAGGCTGATGTAGTATGTCACCCTCTACAGTTCATGTTTCTTAATGCTAACATGCAATTGTGAGCCTGTGCACATGATATATTAATATGGATTAGATGGTAAATGATGAAAATAGAGACAAAGGCATGAAAAGTTAATGCAAGACGTTATTGTGATACTATTACTTTTGGTAAAAAGTGTGAGACTAGAGCAATAACGAGAATTGTTATTATTGGCCATAATGATTCTACTGGCTCCATTAGTAAAAATATATGACCAATGAAGCTACAAGAATTTGTACTCTCAACGGTGGATCTCACCAATAACATTTGTTACAAAAACAACATCACTAATCAAAATGTGAGAAAGTGTAATCTAGTCTCATACATTTTATCAATTGTGTTTGAAGAACAAAGATTACTGTAAAATCTGTATTGGAAGTCGCGGTTTCTATTAAAATAGTACAATGCAACAGAGAGGATACGGCTTATATTACAGCATCTACACTTATGAGAAATGATGAATTTTTGATTATCAATTATTCAAAAAGAATGGGTGTGACTTCTATTAGAGATGTGGCTTCTAATACAGATTTTACGGTAGTATAGCTGCACTTATTAGGGTCATGAGTAAAGCCGAACCGATCATTCTGAAATTGACACAATTAAATTATTTATATTGGCTAACTTCATAATTTGGCAATTATATCTATGTCATGAATAATATTTTCTGGTTCAAAATTCAGCAATTTAGTAAGATGAACATGGATGAGTCACTGTGATGGAAATTAAGGAGTGTCTCTTTATAAATAACTGAAAGTAACTTTTTCATATTCTTGCTACCACAGCTTGTTTTCACTTCAGGACAATTTTGTGATTTTTCAATATTTTGCATGCAAATTAGTCTCTAGGAAAAATGATTTTTTTTTATTAAAGGGGTGTTTTATTGAGGGAAGGGGATAATAAATGAAAAAAAATAAAAATTCTCCGACTTGTCTGTGATAATTTGAGATGCCTATAACTGTCGAAACGATTTATAGCTTAGTGGGCTGACACTTGAAAATAACTAGCAAGAACGCTTGGATTGTCTCTGATTGCCAACTTACATATAAACATGTAGGTCAAGGTGCTACAGCGCTGAACAAAGACCTATTGTTTTAGGGACCCTAGCATCGATTTTATTTTCTCCCATGAACTTAACCTAAAAAAATAAAATATTTTCCATTTGCAACTATTAGTGATAAATACGTGGGAACACATATGTTTCAGAAATGTTACTTTGATGTTCTAATCCGAAAGTGTTATTAATTATAATATTAATTAATAAAAAATATAATACACCATGGAAGTCATCTTTATTGCAATATGTTATGGATTTTAATATTTTTTTCAAAATATATAATAAGTCATATTAGCTTGCTTATTATAAATTTCTAATCTCCTCCCTAATTAAGTAAATGCAGAAAGGTCACAATTTATTATCATAATTAAACATATTATGTATAGTAAATTCTAAATCCTTGGAAGATATTTTTGCCATACTAGCTACACGATAAGTGCCTTTCTCTGTAAGCGTCTTTCGCAGTGAGCAGGGCTTTGTCGCAGTAACTGGTACTTTCATCTAAGTTGAGAATTGAGAGTTTTATATGTCTAACAACTGGTATCAATCTGGGACAGAATATCATCCTTATGAGCTGTCCTTATGATTTGAGAAGTTGTCATATTTTGGCCATACTACTGTAAAGGGGTTAATTAATCACTGGGTTTTAATTTTGCTTATTTTGCTGACTGGAAAATGTGCTAAATTAAAACCCAGTGAATATGTAAAATTTAGCATAGAACACATTATCTAAATGATAAAACCGTGAATTTAAAACCCACTGAATATGCCTGAAATGGAAAATCAGGGAAATATAAACCCAGTGAAAATTGGTCATTTTACAGTACTATATCTCTTTCACCTCTGCACTGTTTTCTTGGCACATGTGTCATAAATAGATCGATGTTCATTTTGTAATTTGGTTAAAGATGGCCGACTGGCTCGTAGGGATACATGTGCATGATGATTTGTTTGATTGCATTTTAGAAGTTATCTAATAAATCTGATTTTTGTTGTTACTACCGGTAGTTTAGTTTATTATTCACTCTCAATTACTGGCCATACACTACAAATTCCTACAGAAATTATTCACTTGGTCACATGTCCAGTGATTTGCATATCCAATTTGTTTGCATATATTATGCATGTAGCAATACAGGTCCATAACAATTCAATTCGTGATCAGATAGAACACAACAGACTAGCTGCCATCTTGCTTTTTAGTCCCCGTTCGGACGCAGTCCGAAAACGGGGACTTATGTTTTGCCCTGTGTGCGTCCGTCCGTCCGTCCGTCTGTCCGTGCGTCCGTGATCACCTGTATCTCGAACATGCATGGACCGATTAAGTTCAAACTTCACTCATACATCACACATTATATGGGACATATGCACATGCATTTTTTTCATGATCCGATTAACAATAGCCGAATAGCGGCCATTTTAAGGCCGAAAAAGCATCAAAATCGCACATTTTCACCATTCCGGACCCGGATCTCAGTTATGCATGGACATATTTTGTTCAAATT